ACGCCTACCTCTCAGTTCCGGTTCACAACAACAGCAGACGTTTTCTCCAATTCATGTGGTACAATCGACCATGGCAATTCACTTGCCTCCCTTTCGGCCTCAGTTCGGCCCCATGGTGTTTCACCAAACTGCTGAAGCCGGTGGTTACTCATCTGCGCGCAAGAGGAATTCGCTGCATTATATACCCGGACGACCTCCTGCTCTTCTGCTCCGTCAAGTCAAGACTCAGACTACACACACGTTTTGCCGTGGATCTCCTAGAGTCCCTAGGGTTTACGGTAAATGATCAGAAATTGGCTACAACTCCATCCCAAACCATACAATTCCTGGGGTTCGAAATCGTCTCCAGCACACTCCGCCTCCCGACAGCCAAGATAACGGCTATTCGGAAGGAAATCCGCAACACACTCCGGTGCCGATCGGTTCCTCTACGCAATCTCGCTCGGATCATGGGCCTCCTATCGGCATCCATCCAAGCCATCTTCCCGGGACCACTCCACTACAGGGCGATGCAACGCCTCAAGGCATCCTTCCTCCACCGAAATCCCACCTACGACCAACCAGTACCGATTACGGCAGAGGTCAGGGAGGAACTTCAATGGTTGCTGGACAGCATGCAGGCCTGGAACGGCTGTGCTATATTCGGCGAAACCCCAGATTTCGTGCTGGAATCGGACGCAAGCCTTTGGGGCTTGGGAGCCACGAGCTTCGAAGTATCGACAGAGGGAGCCTGGACTTCACAGGAACTCAACCTGCATATCAACTGTCTCGAACTCCTGGCGGGTTCTTTCGCCATACGCAGCCTGGCAAGGGACAAATCCGATTGTTGCATTTTCCTCAGGATGGACAATATCTCAGCCGTCCACTATGTCAATCGCCTATGCAGAGCTCGCTCACGACTCCTTTCCGAACTCACAAAAGAAGTGTTCGACTTCTGCCTTCCACGCAACATCTCCCTCAAGGCGGAATACCTACCAGGGGAGACGAATCTCACAGCCGACTGGTTCTCTCGCCATTGGAGAGACGACAGCGATTGGATGCTGAACCCAGAGATATTCACTGTCCTCTCGCAAATGAGAGGACCCTTCCATCTGGATCTCTTCGCATCCCACAACAACAGACAATCCCCAGACTTCTTCAGCTGGCTCCCGGACCCGGAATGCAAAGCAGTGGACGCTTTCCTACAGATCTGGCCACCCTTCGGCGCCTACGCATTTCCCTCATTCGCTATGATAGCGAGGACTCTCCATTATCTGAAGGTACACCAGATTTCTCTGCTCCTAATTACCCCCCTCCTAATTACTCCCCTATTCGTGGTTCCCGGATCTTCTAGCACTATCTTACGCAGACCCGCTCTTGTTGCCCCCCTCACCTTACTCTCCTCACGGACCCGAAGGGGAACCCTCACCCACTAATGCTGGAAGAGAGACTCTCCCTGGTGGCTTGGAATCTTTCTGGGGCACCTGGCAAGTCAGCGAACTATCCCAGACTGCTAGGGACCTCTTATGGGATTCATGGGCACCAGGGACGAGATTATGCTACCTCTCTGCTTGGACCTCCTGGTCCTCTTGGTGCATGGAACGGAACCTCGATCCACTTATGGCACCTATTCCCGCCATCTTGAATTTCCTGTTGTCCCTTTTTGCAACTGGGAAATCATATAGAACGATCAACGTAGTTCGATCAGCGATCTCAGCGGCCCATATTCCTATCCAAGGGATTCCGGTGGGTAAGGACCCTATGGTATGTCGATTACTGAGGGGCATACGGCTCAAAAGCCCCCCGGCCCCCAAATCACCTCTGGGACGTGGGCCTCGTCCTCACCTTTTTAAGAGGATGGCTGTCTAACGACAGACTTTCGCTCCGCCAACTTTCGGCCAAAATGACGATTTTACTCTGCGTAGTCTCATTTCGCCAGGTATCTGACGTTTGGGTCTTTGAAGTCGATGCCTTTTCGATAGGTCCCGAAGGAGTCACCTTCCATATCTCCCGACGCACCAAATCGAACTCCACCACCATTTTTTACCCCTTTTTCGTCACAGAACCTCAATTATGTGTGGCGTTACGCAGCTACATGACGGCTACCGCCTCTCTCCGCCCAACTTCCTCCGGCCAACTTCTGATTTCCTACGTCAAGCCACACAATCCAGTTTCCTCTACTACCCTCGCTAGATGGGTACGTTGGATTTTGTCACTGGCAGGCGTGGATGCCACTTTCGGGGCTCATTCGGTGAGAGGCACGGCTGCTTCTTCGGCCTACGCAGCTGGAGCATCACTATCAGACGTCCTTCGCACAGCTGACTGGTCCCGCGAATCCACTTTTCGGACCTTCTACTTTAGACCGAACTCCTGCGCGGCATTTTCTTTGTTACATCAGTGTTAAAAATGCAAAATACAAAGCCTCCTGTCATGTAATAAAATTTAAGATTATGCTAGCTTCAGTGTACTAATAATCTTAATTTTAATAAGGACAGGAGGCAAGTATTTTCCCACCCATACCCACCCCTTTCGGTCTTCAAGTATATCCATGCTGCTCCTTCTTCAGATTCCTCTATCCTCCTTTATGAAGCTAGCTTTTCTATCTATCCCTTCCTCATTCCGAATATCCAACGTATATTGTGTATCTCTCGTATGTCATGATACTTATACCTTGTTGTATCGTAGGGAGAGAAGTATCGATTAATAATATACTGTCATTATGGTATTATAGTCTTACTAAAATAGTCTAGCCAGATGCCTTCCTCTATGTGGATTATCCCAAGTTTATCCTACGTTCCCCATGGATTATCCTAATTCATTTGGATTGATTCTCCGGTTACAGACCCAAGACTGGCTTTAATTCAGAATTTTTTTAACTTTGTCCGTCTGCGATGTCGCTAGTTGAAAGAGGAGGAGGAGCCTGTTCACTGGGAATACCATACCACTTACTGTTTTTTGATTGGTTCTTATTATCCTTTTCTTCGCTGCTATGGAGTTTAGTAAAGAGAGTTATGCAAAATACTCGCCTCCTGTCCTTATTAAAATTAAGATTATTAGTACACTACAGCTAGCATCATCTTCAATTCTATCAACAAAAAACAATGAAAAACTCAAAGAAAACTTGTCTCTTTCTCATTTTGACGTTTTATATTGTGTTCTGACCTAACACCTCGATTTAATTATTTTGGCAAAAAACAATCGATAATTACCGACTGTTCTTAGTTAATTTATTCAAGGATTTCACTGGATTTAAGGCTGATAAACGGGTCTGTAGTGTGAAAAAATACTATGGTAAATGTGGATCAGAAGCAGAATTCTCAGCCTTGTTTAATGACTAATTAGCTATTTGAAAAAACAAAAAAACATGCCTATGGGGTAAATATGGGTCTATTCAATAAAAAAAAAAAGGTAGTGACCCTCCCCAGCCCCCTCCCATGGGTGGCAGGTGAGGGCTAATAATCTAATAATAAACAGAGGGGACCATAGGCGTGCGCACGGGGTGTGCTGGGTGTGCCTGGGCACACACTAATCCCCGCGGCATGCCTATGTATATTGAGACCGGCAGGGGAGATCTCAGGATCTCCCCTGTCGGCTCATGCAGAGCCGGCGCTATCCGAGCGCCGGCTCTGCTCTCAGCCTCCCTCCCCACCGACCAACATGCAGGGAGGGAGGCAGGAGAGGACCGATGGAGCTCTTGCCAGTAGCTCCGCCCGGTTCCTCTAGCGAGATATGAGCGTTGCCACGGCAATGCTCAAATCTTGTGAGAGTGAACTCTAGCCCCACAGGGGCTAGAGTTCACTCTCCACTAGACCACCACGGATGGAAGCAGCAGGAACAAGGATCCCCCCTCCCAGGCATAAGGTAAGAAGGGAGGGGGGATATCAAGTAATGTACCCCCACCTCCACCCCCACAATCACACACACACATACAGCACACGTACACAGCACCTACACACATACAGCACACACAGACATACAGCACACACAGCACCCACAGACATACAGCACACACAGACATGCACAGCACCCACAGACACACAGCACCTACACACATACAGCACCCACGCACACACAAACATCACCAACAGACATACACAGCACCAACACACATACAACACCCACAGACATACACAGTACCAAAACACATACAGCACCCACAGACATACACAGCACCATCACACATACATCACTCACAGACATACACAGCACCAACACACATACAGCACCCACAGACATACACAGCACCAACACACATACAGCACCCACAGACACAGACATACATACAGCACCAACACACATACAGCACCCACAGACCCAAAGACATACACAGCACCAACACACATACAGCACATACACAGCACCAACACATACAGCACCCACAGACATACACAGCACCTACACACATACAGCACACACACACACACATACAACACCCACAGACATACACAGCACCAACACACATACAGCACCAACACACATACAGCACCTACAGACATACACAGCACCAACACACATACAGCACCCACAGACATACACAGCACCATCACACATACAGCACCCACAGACATACACAGCACCAACACACATACAGCATCCACAGACATACACAGCACCAACACACATACAGCACCAACACACATACAGCACCCACAGACATATTCAGCACCAACACACATACAGCACACACATACAACACCCACAGACATATACAGCACCAACACACATACAGCACCCACAGACATACACAGCACCAACACACATACAGCACCAACACACATACAGCACCCACAGACATACACAGCACCAACACACATACAGCACCCACAGACATACACAGCACCAACACACATACAGCACCCACAGACATACACAGCACCAACACACATACAATACCCACAGACATACACAGCACCAACACACATACAGCACCCACAGATATACACAGCACCTACACACATAGAGCACCCACAGACATACACACCACCTACACACATACACAGCACCTACACACATACAGCACACACACACATACAGCATCCACAGACATACACAGCACCCACACACATACAGCACCCATAGACATACACAGCACCTACACACATACACAGCACCCACAGACATACAGCACCCACAGACATACAGCACCCACAGACATACAGCACGCACACACATACGGCACCCACACACATACACAGCACCCACACACACATACAGCACCCACACACACATACAGCACCCTCACAAACACACACAGCACCCTTACACACAGCACACAAACAGCACCCTCACATACAGCACACAAACAGCACCCTCACACACAGCACACAAACAGCACCCTCACACACAGTACATTAACAGCACCCTCACAAGCGCACACACACAAACAGCACCCTCACACACAGTACATTAACAGCACCCTCACAAGCGCGCACACTCAAACACCCTCACCTACATAGCACACTACCAGCACCGTCACACACACATCACACTAACAGCACCCTCACACACAGCAGTGTGTGTATGTGTGTGTATATATGTGTGTATGTATGTATATATATATATATATATATATATATATATACATACATATATATATGCGGCGTGTGCTTGTGCTTTAGGGTGCACACCCTAATGCAATAGGCTGCGCACGCCTATGGAGGGGACCTTACTATGGGAGCCAAGTGGGAACTGCTATTAAAATATTAACCCCATGAGATTCTTTTAGTTAGTGATTAACAGTGTTAGTCATTCACAATGGAAGATAGATGTGCTTCCAATGTGCCATAATGAATGGGTTTGTCTCAAGATACCAACCCGATTATCAGGTTCAAATTGTGGCTGGCAGTAAATCCAGAAAAAATGTAAAGATATAGGTAACTTAAAACAGGTAATAATTATTTACGGTTTATTGCCGTTTATAGAATTAAGTCCATCGTGAAACACAATATAAAACACCAAAACACAAAAGTGACAGTTGTTGTTTGAGTGTTGAGTTGCTATTGTCGACTATCTGCCATAAATAGCTGAAAGGTCGGGTATCACTTTAGGATTGGTGCTTTTTGGCTTTTTAGACTGTTCGAGGCAAGAGGCTGCTATTAACATGGTCAAGAAGCCAACAGCGATGAAACATTAAAATGAATGCAATATGTGTAGGGCGATCAAAGCGATGTATTATAAGGAGCCCCACGAGAGCTGCAGTTGGAGTGATCAGAAGACTCGGCAGGGGGCCACCGCAGTACATGAAAAGGCAGTGGAGAGCCAAGCGTTGGGATATTCCTACAAAAGATATTTGTGAATTATTACTGCATGCGTATCTATTGCCACGAACACAGTATTTGCTGAAACACAGCTCGAGTTTGGGTGAAAAGATCTTCCGAGTCCCAAAAACAAGTGTTATTCAATAAGGAAGACAGGACCAGAAACACAAATATTGCACTGTTTATAATAAAATGACTTAGCGCTACTGCATATTACTTTTATTGTTATCTTTATCTGATGCTTTTTAAGTGAAGTAATATTTCTTTTTGGAATTCCTTGCATATTCTGTAGCAGAGATTCACCTAGTTCGGTTTTAGATTCACAAACTGATATAACAGTTCGTGTGCACTAAATGTTTTCCTGAGACTGATCGACAGCCATTGCCTGCACTCTCTGCAGCCAGACTCAGAATTCATAAAACTGAAGATTACTTGATCCCATTTAGCTATAATCCTGGCAAGGCATGGAAAGGATTTGGGATAATGACAAATAAACTGGGTTACTTTACATCTTGACTACTTTAGTCTAAACATTTATCACGTTGTCAGCCTACTATTTGGTGATGTGACGGTAGTAATCTGTATCACCGTCTAGTATTCCCTTTTTCCTCAATAGCAGAATAATCACCATAATCCACAGGGTAAAATATCGCTGGTATCGCCACATAATCCACACATGAGCCAAAGCTTAATGCTGGAACAAGACTGATTTACTGGAAGCAACAGGCATTCAATTTATACAGTACAAGCTCCTCCTCTGGGATAATTGAGTTTCAGCAACATACAGCTCAATTGTCTGCTGGCCAGAAACATTAAAATTTTCAACATTTTTAGAAATATACTTTCTACATGACATATGAATATAAGAATCACACATCACTGGGTAGCTGAGGATACTGGGAGTCACATATCCAAACTGCACGAAATCCGTTCGGTAGTTTGACCGGCTCGCCATGTGGTGGTATCCGATTTAGAGTTCCATGAACTCAGTAGTAAGAGCCAGTCTCCGTTCATGCAGAATTACACGAAAACTACCATAGATATGTTGCAGGTGGTTACATGAGAGTACTCCCCTTGTTCGGTAGATTAAAACTCCCGAACGCCGGTTTGATACGATGGGTGGATATAGGTTAGACGGGACTTCCATAATGACCGGGCGTTCATGTGATTGTCATGCTGAAAACAGTTCCAAGCAATCCACGAGTAAGTCCCGCTGGCCGCATTCAGGAGATTTAAGATGGCCACCATCCTTTGTTCTCGCCGCGTGTTTGTATGCCGAATGGCGGCCACGTAGGAGCACTCAATTAAGTTTCGGTTTTGTGTGGTTCCTCTGTGTTTTAAGTTCTGATTGCTACCAAGGGTGGTCTCCGTTCGATAGAACGAATAAATGTCCCGAACACAGAAATAACAACGAATACTTTACAGTCACTTAACTAGCAGGGAGAGAAAGTACCGAATACATGGAGGGTGATTATTCACAGGTGAATACACTGTTATAATCAAAGTATAATCAAACTACATGCTTATGAATTTAATGCCGGTTATATAATATATTCTGGGGCGCATAGGCAGAACATGAGAATAGTTTTTTTTTTAAAGATTCTAGAATTATTCAAATAAATACATGCATAAATAAAACCATAGAGCCTCGGGAATGATATAGTAATTTGAATAGAAATGTAAAACATAAAAGGTAGAAACAGATTGCTTAGAAAACTCAGTGTAGGTCTGTGTAGCAGACTCAGTCCTGCTCCGTTCAGTTGTCCATACCCCCATTGTTCATTCCCCAGATGGATGATGTCTGGTCCCCCTTTTATACCCTCCGAACACCGACCACTCCTGGCTTGTTAACTTCAAAAGAGCAATTAGCTCAAGTGCTTTCTCTGGGTGGCTGCCATTTGTATAACCGAACACACATGCTCTAATGAATAGCGGCCGTTTTGTCTCCCGAGTGCAGGCAGCGGTACATGGTCGTAACAAGCGTGGAACTCTTTGGCTATGCAATCCTGCGAACCCTGGGGAAAATGTACCGCTGCCCGTTCAGCTCCCAGACAAGCTAGGAGAACTTGACACAATTCCCAGACACAGGGACACCTGGGAGGGGCTTGTGTTTATTTTGAATGGAGACCCCATGCTGGGGGTCTGTGCATAAAAGGCTACGTTTGAGCTGAATAAATCAGTTTTACTCTCAGAACTGTATGTCGTCCAGTTACTGGGGAGGGATAGAGCTATTCACCTCACAGCGCCTTGTTCCTGAGTTCCTGTCTTCACGGATCCAGTGGAGGAAAAGTCCTTGTCAGGACTAGTGCTCCGCTACAGTCTGAACTCAGCTATTCTGGTCTAAATGTTACACATTCTGCACCAGTTCACCATTTAGTGAATGCATCCCAGTGAACAGGTTATTTATGATGCTATGAGTGAATACATTTGGTTTTAAAGGGACTAGCCCAGTTAAATATTTCATGGGTGTTTTAAGTGCTCTTACTACATATTGTATACGTCAGCACCCGGTGCACTAATACCTGCTTAGCCAGAAGCCAGTCTCACACTTAGGGATAAAACCGCAGCTAATCTCGGGTAAAACCTGCTGATGATGTGCATCCCAACAGTAAACGCATCACTGAGCCCTGGCAAGAAACTTTTTACGAACATCTTTGTGCAAAATGGGTACATTAAGCACAAAGCAAGATTTATCACTCACACCCTTCTGATGGGAGAAAAATGTAATTTGTCATAAGTACAAATTCGTTAGGGGTTATCCACTGAACAGGGTGCTGTGACAAGTAAAAAACTGACTTGAGAAATGTAGGTGAGCCTAATGTTCTCAGTCTGTCATTGCCTCCAAGATTTGACAGAAACACTTTGATAAATAATACGTGAGGTTTATGAATTATGAGTCTGGCTGCAGAGAGTGCAGGCAATGGCTGTCGATAAAGAGCTCCGACTTTGGTCAAATTGCCGAAATCGTAAGACGAAATGGAAGCTCCCCTTATGCAGAAATTGGACAAACATTCTCTGAATTCAGAAGAAGAGAGTCTGAGTTAGGACAATCTAGACAGCATGCTGCAAATCTTCTTACGTCCCAAACATCATGGGACCAGCCATGAAAAGACTATCAACAACACTTTACATTCATGTTGAGACACAAATGATGGCATTACCAGTGATCACAAGGAACTTCCCAACTGGCCTATTATTTGTTGGAGAAATGGACACAAGAATTCGTAGTTATTCCACACTTGACCATTCAAGACACACAAACTGGAGAACAAGCAGATTCACTAAAACTGACGCCTTTCTTTGGACTCAGGAAGCCTCTGTTCTTGATGAAGATACTGGCCAATGTCCCATTGACTTCTTTGAAGGACATTGCTCTACATGGGTTTCTGAGCATGTTATTGCTCTGTCTGGGTGGAAATGAGACAATCTGCCCCAGGTGGATTTGAGATTTCACTGGTATAATGTTTATTGGAAGACGATATAAAGCAAATCTGAATGATTGCTATAGAGGAACATTTTATATTGTAGATGTGAGATTTCTGAAGCTGACAAGAGATTATGAAATGTGTAAGGTTGGACAGGGGAACGAAATGTAGATATAATTGAAGTTTACTCACAGCAGATTAAAAAACTTGTATTTACTAAAAAAAAAAAGACCATTTTAGTTTCTGTAATGTACAGCAGCCACAGTACAGGAGCTGACAGCTGCATATCTCTGTACTGTAACCAGCGAGAAAGGCTATACTTAACACACAGAAAATGCACTTTGTCACAAGTATCGCCAAACCCAGAGGGATCCAGGAAATCCATCAAATGACAAGATGTTTAGAAATCAATGAGCAAACAGTATCCTTGAGAGAAACAATCTGTTCACCTGAAAAGGCAATATCTTTACAGGAAGAGTGTGGCGAAACCAACCTCGCCACTGTACACTGGAGAAGCCTGGTTGCTCGCCTGCTCCCTTTAGACTATGGTCCTGCATTTTAAACTTTTATTTTACCG